GTTGAGTGCAGTGTAGAGAGTAACACGACCCTCCTCCTCCTGTTGGTGCGAGCGAGCGGTCAGTCACGTGTGCGTAGGATGGCCGAACTTAAAGGTCCCCTGAAGTGCCTTGAAACACGCAGCGTTATTCTATGTGGTGACGTAATTTCAACTGAAACAGGAAGTCAGGGTGGGACATATCGAGCAGCCCCGCCCCCTTTTTAAATTAGCCAATAGGGTTTTGTTTATATCTGCATGGGTCAGAGGATAACCAATCACAGCACATTTCGTATTTCAGAAGGCGGGCCTTCATTTGATACAGGAACTATTCGAGCCGTTCATGCCAGACTGGGGAGAGAAGTGTTGTAATAATGTAAAATATGTGAAAAATAATGTGTTTTTTGAACAACCTAGTATGAGAGCCTGTTCTAGTACAACCCCAAAGACTTTGTAAAAGAGCATAATAGGACCCCTTTAAGAAGAATCGCTTTATGTATTCCGCAATTGTAAGTCGCTTTGGATAAAAGCGTCTGCAAAATTACTTAATGTAAATGTATATATATATATATATATATATATATACACACACACACACACACACACATATATATACATACACACACAATTTCATAGTACTTTTGCTCTCTCTAAAAGTAACTCATACTTTAATAAATACTTTAGAACTGAAAAAATAATTTCTGAATATATCCCAGGTTTTCCAGGAGCCAGTGAACCCTTTTTTTACTCATTAAGGTAGTAAAGAAGAGAGCCCTTTCTCACCTCTGCAGGGAGCGATGACTTCCTCTTTCTTGTCCATGTGGTCTTTGTGGCACTTGATGTGGCATCGTCTGCATTCGAGAGCTGGAGGTGGTTTGAACATGTTCCACAGGGGTTTGGTACAGGCTTCACAGTTAGTGGGGAAGTGGTACAGGGTATGAATGAACTCATGACCCTTATGGCAAATGTAGCTGGACTTGTCTCCAGGAAGAGGTTCCAGTTCTTGCTCTTTCTTGCTCTCACCCTCATTAGCGTACAAGATCTGGGGGAAGCAATGATAAGCTATGAGTCCTTAGCTTACAGCCGTTATTCTTAGGATTCAAATATGATTTTATAAAACTTCCCAGGTATCAGGTTCCCTGATACCCTGCCCGTGTTATCTGTGGTACCAATATACCTGGAATATTCTGGGGATCTCTTTGGCGTCAGCGCGATAGACGTCCGTCTGGGTTACTGAACGCACATGGAAAAGTTTACTGTCAAGGGAATACCAGAGAAATTAAGATAATGACAAGATGACAGAAATTACTTAAGTCAGTCAAAAAGATAAAGGGCAATTTCTTTTACACTGGGACAAAAAGAATTTGTGTAACCAAATGGATTTAAAGAGTAAAAGGACTCACTCTATGTCCAAAACCATGTAAGGATTGGACTGCTCTTTGTCCTGCTCGCTGTTGTAGAAAAGAATCTTTTTGCTGCTCACCACAACATACTAGAGGAGAGAAAAGAAACAAAAGACTCACTGAATCCTGCATGATAGGGTTGGATGGGATTTCTAATGCAAGGGTATCAGTGTCTAGCACTACAACTCTAGTGCTTTAGCTCCTGTTTGCAAAGTCACTTGAGGTTTAGGTTTAGCCCAGGTAATTAGTATTTGTCATGTGGTTGCAGACAACATGAGTTAATAATTAAAATAGGACAGGTTTATTAAATAGTTAAGTAGTTTATTCACTCACTATAACAGCATAGTGTCATTTTAGTATTATTGATATACTTTATTATTTTTTAATATTTTGAAATCTTTTATTCTTATATTTCATTTTAATTATAGTTTAAGTTGTAGTAATTTTGTTATGTGCTTGCAACCTTTGTTTTTTGTATTTATATTTAGCTTTCATTTATTTTTTTATTTCAGTTTTTATTTCAGTAATTTTAATACTTCAGTTGTAGGGATGTAGCGGTATGAAAATTTCTTATCACGATTATAGTGACCAAAATGATCACGGTTATCGGTATTATCACGGTATTGTTAAAATGTGCTGGAAATGTTCAAAAAGTACTGACACACACAAATCATTTCACCAAGTTTTATATTTAAAATCAACAAACAACAAATAAAATGAGTTTTTGTTTGCATAATCACTAAAACAATAACATTACCAATGATGTTCGGATTTTAAATGACAACTTGACTGACAACAGTTTAATAGCATGTTGAAATATCTAATGTAAATGTTCAAATAAAGCTTTGAAAAAGTTTCATAAAAAGGTAAACCTCACATTTCAGCCTTTAAATAAAAAAAAGATACAAGTCAAAATGATAACTGATTAATAAATGATTATATGTATTTATCTGCTCCATAAATAATACTAGATACCTTATTGTTTAAATGTGTAGAATCCACATAAGCTTGTTTTTCATCAACCGGTCAAAATTTACAGCAGGGCATGCAAATTCGATCCGTTTTTTGATCTACACAACTTTCACTTTTTAAGACTAAAACAAAAGATGGATTCATTGTTATTCTTAATTAAAAAGCATAACAACAATAAAACA